AAAACAAATTTGGATGAGGAGTTTAGTGCTGGGCCATTTTCACACAGTTAATCATACAGTAGAATCACAGAATAGAATGGTTTTCATTGGAAGGAACCTTAAAGATCATGTAGTTCCTGTCCCCCTACCATGGGCAAGGACACTTTCCACTAGACCAGGCTCAAAGCCCCATCCAACCTGGCCTTGAACACTTCCAGGGATGAGGCCTCCACAACTTCTCTGGGCAACCTGTGATGACATCTCAACACCCTCACAGTAAAGAATTTTTTCCCAATATCTAATCTAAACCTGCCCTTTTTCAGTCTAAAGATGTTCTCCTTTGTTCTATCACTACATACCCTTGTGAAAAGTCCCTCACCGGCTCTCCTGTAGCCCCCTTTAGCTACTGGAAGGCTGCTCTAATCATCAAAGTTGGCTTCAGATCCATCCCTGCCCAGCTCCCCATAAGAATGCCCAGGTTCAAGCCAACAGGTTGTGTCAGCTCAGGCTCCACACAGCTGAGCTTGCCTTCACATGGCCCCAAGCCTTGTTCCATGAGATGTTGCTGAGCAGCACGGTATGTTCCCGCCTGCACAGCCCACATTTATCCACTGCTGGAATTCTACTGAAGTCTCTTAAAGTGAGTCACTCCCAGAAGAGTGGGCAGAAACTGTGTATGTTTCAATGCTCTGAGTTCATAACATTCTCAGACTGTTCTTAACCTTTGGTATAGTCACAGTCATATAATAAATTTGGGAACATACAGACAAATCCAGACATACACAATATATATTTAATCAGGAAAAAGCACAGATATTATTCATCTGCTCCAGTGGCAGCGTATTCCTAAGCTGATATTTAATACATTTAATCATATTGTAAATGCTCACCTGAATCCTGTATATATTCCTAAATGCCCTATAGAATAAATATTTACATACTTAAATTTCCCATGAAACCCATGAAAATTTTGCTTTAATTTCAGAGACAGCGTGATAGGACCTCAAACCTCCAGCCAATAACAAGCAGATTGCATTATGCAGAGGAAAAACAGGGAGGTAGTGAGAAGTAGTCATCTTCCTGAGGAATATTTGGTCTAAAGAAAGGTGGCAGATAAAAGGTAGTAAAAAGGAAGTATTGTGAGATGGGAAAATGAAGGACAGATGGGTTATCTGATTTGCCAAGAAAGGGACAGGATATGTCTGTGTAATATTTTGTAGACATAAATGGCTATATGGCTTCAAATCTGGAACTGCTTCATGGTCTCACAGCTTGAAAAATAATGGAATAAGCCCTTATTTACTTACCAAAATTTCTTGGACAAGAAAGATAAAGGAATAAACTTAACACATTCTCTAGCCACTCATTTTTCAGAGAATTCCACAATGTTTGATCATTTATATTTCCAAGTACTGTCCCACTTTCCTCATTCAGTAAGATGTGATTCACCATGCATTCTTCCATTGCCTTGTGCATCTTAATTTCAGGAGGCAGAATTTTTTATTTCTGCAGTAATTATCATGATACAGTGTTAATATTTATTGGCTCTGAGGTATTGCAGTGCATATTATTATCTATAATCATTTGGACAGAAACACCAACCTCAACACAGATTCATGAATAGGTTGATATATTCTTAGTAATGTTTGTCTGAAAATGAGCTACGTCCTGAAAAAATTGCTCATGCCTACCATAGGAAAGGTACTTGAGCCTGTCAAAATTGTAGTAAGAATCGAATGGAGACCTATGAAACGCAGGTTTGTACCTGTCCCATGGACCTTGTCACCTCTCTACCTCCAACTTTTGCTGTCTGCAGCATTCTGGGAGCAATGTTGAGTCTAGTTGCAAACTATGGGCCAAGAAAGATTCACAGCTTAGGGGAGTTTTACTCTGAACTGGTTGTAGCATGGTCCCAAGTTTTGAACACCCGCTTGCAGCTGTGGTGCATTAGGTGCTTTCCTAGGGCACTTTATCTGTGCTTTCCTGGGGCACTTCATCTATGTCTGGGGCACACACAGTTTAGTGTCTTTCAAAAGAAATCTGATATATTGCTCTGAAATGGTGACACTCAAACCAGCCCAAAGCACAGTGAGTGAGAATGAGTTGGAAATTTGTTTTTGAAAACCCATACCTGAACTGAACTAAAATAATAATGTAAACATGCCCTGCTTCTCCCTACACGCCAACATTAAATGGCATCACACTGGATTTTCCAGCTCACAGGAAAGTAAGTCTTTTTTCTGTCTTTCCTCACTGTTTTTTCTTGTATGAAAATGGAGAAAAACAGATCTTTTACAGATACATAGTTTGGTTTGTTTTTTGTTTTTTTTTACTCTAACAGAAAAGACTTCTACTATAGATATTGTAAGAACACATATAGGTTACAGTCTGTGGATATTTATTCTCTGCCCAGTCATTCTGTAGGAACTCCTCAAATTCTGTTAGATTATTTTGTTATTCTTGCTTAAGAATTTAATCTGTGAACTCAATTCCATTGAATGCTACTGAAGCCATCAACATTAAATTCATCCATCTCTCCATGTCATGAATGACTCTGTGTCAGGAAAGGTTCTTGGCTGAAGACAGAACTCATGGATGAGGTATAAGAATAAGAATTTGTGTTAGAGTTCCAGCGAGAACAATATGCACTAACTCTCAAGTAAGCAACGTGTTTAAGGCTAAGTCATACAGGTTGCAGAGATAGATTTAAAATATTTTCTTTTTTTTTTTTTTCACTGAGTGAGAGAACTACCTTTTAGTTTGTGTATTCAGTTTTCGCTTAAAACCACTTCTAGGATCACTGAAGTAAATAAGGGTTACTTAAGTGTTTCAAGTCTAACGTGTCAAAGCACTTTGTGAAATTGGTTGAAAATCACTTTCAACCTTGACTTTGGTGTTTTTTCTGGTGGTTTGTTTTGTTTTGTTTTGGGGTTTTTTTGTTTGTTTTTTGGTTTTTTTAATACTGGTATTTTTTAAGGCCATATTAAGGTATACTAAAGAGAAAAAAACTTATTTCGTCTCAGTTTTTGAGATGTTCCCTTACCTACAAAGTCTTGTGGTACCGTAAACTGACCTTGGCAGGTTGGATTTGCCCCTATATAGCCAAGTGTGACAATTAATATCTCAAGTGAATGTTTTAGCCAGCAGCAAAAGGTATATTAAAATTTTCACAAAGGCTAATTGCCTCACAACTCCATTGACAATTTCCAGCAGCTTCTAAGAAAAGCTAAGCATTACAAATCATCAGGTGAAATGAATGAGGCTCAATGTTTAAAGAAAATCAGAATAATAATTCTATAAAAATGAAGCACAAAGCCCAGAGGAGAGTGTTTCTGTAAGTATTAAGTTATTAGATTTTTAGGCAATCATATGCAATAAAGCAGCCGAAATATTGTTTTATGATAAATACTATTGCCAATGCAAATCTGATTCATTCTAATGACAACTATAATTAACTGCATGATGTGTGAGCTCTTAATTTTGAGTATGAATAATTGGTTAAACCGAGTTTTGTGTATTGCAGTGTAATACAGTTGTAAAATTTTCCACTTAATTTCAATTAATATGGGTTTTACATGTGCTCCACTGTTGCAGTTTTTATGCCTATTATTTTTAATTAGGAAACAGCAATACCTTGGTAGAACAGAATGAATGAGCAGCACTGTGTGTTTCTTCTAACCTTTTTTTCCATTGTGGATACTTCAAGCTCATATTGCTTAGCCTTCCAAAATATTAATCACTGCTCATGAGGCTGACTGGAACTGGTAGTGCCAGCTTCTGCATGAAATAGAAGGGAAAAAGGGATCTCTCAGTCCTCTCATTCACTTACTGACCTCTACACACTGTTTTTCAGTTCAGATTATGTATTTTACCACCCTTCCTGACGTGTTCCTATATATTTTAGTGTTTAAAACTGTGTGGTGATGTTCTCATTCACCACTGAAAAGGGGAGCTTGTATGTATATGCACCTATTTTATGATGGGATCAATCACCAGCTGGATATTCTAACTCTTCTCTGCAAAAGGTGTCTAGACACTCTGTGTTGTTACTAATAATACTGGATTATAAAAAATAAAGGCCTGCAAGATGCTGCTGAATAAATTTTTATTGCACTTTTCACAGCAACATAAATAGAGAATAGAAGTGCAAACAGGTTTTAAAAGCCAAACAAGGTAAGATTCACTGATTCTGGCTAAACAGACTCAATACCTAACCTCTTCGCAGACCTGTATTGTATCATCATCCTCATTTCATAAAGATAAAAGTGCAAGAGATGTAGAAGTAGGCGAATTATTAAGATAGGAACTTTTGGTACAGTAAAAGAATGGTGCCTAGCTGAGTCTGTTTGCACAGGCTTGGTTCTATGTTGCTGAAACAGAAATGTTTTCATAGAATCATGGAATGGTTTGGGTTGGAAGGGACCTTAAATGTCATCTACTTCCAACCCCCATGCCACAGGCAGGGACAGCTTCAGCTAGACCAGGTTGCACAGAGCCCCATCCAACCTGGCCTTGAACACTTCCAGGGACGGGGCAGCCAAAACTTCTCTGCTTTGGTTCACTGTTCACTACTTTTCTACCAGTTGTAGACCTTTTCTTAAGGTCCATAGACCTCATGTTAGCATTTACACCTAAACTAATATTTCTGAGGTTTTGGAGAGATTTCTGCAGGTGGGGAGAAGTTTCTGGATTCCCCAAAACACTATATCATAATGTCCATGATTCATGCTTTAAAAAGACACATGAAAGAGCAGCAGTCAAAAAACAACATAGGTGTGGTGAGGTGATGAGCTGCAGAGGAAAAGGCATTATTTGGATAATAAAATATTTAGGGAGAACCTCTTACATTTCTTTGTTTTTATTTTAACATAGTGTGTGTATCAGTAAAAGCATCTGCTACGAGCTGTTGAAGACACTTTAAAATACTTTTTCCTCTATTAATAATCAACCCATCAACAGATGTCTGAAGAGCTGACTGTATTACAGCTCTATGCACTAACCCCCTACTTGTTCCCTGGCAGGCGAGATGACTCTGAGAACACAGCACGTTCAGGACTCCAAGATGGGCTTTGTAATCAATGCAATATACTCGATGGCATATGGGCTCCACAACATGCAGTTGTCTCTGTGCCCAGGCTATGTGGGCCTCTGCGATGCCATGAAGCCCATAGATGGTCGGAAGCTCCTGGAATCCCTCATGAAGACTAACTTTACTGGGGTCTCTGGGGACATGATCTTGTTTGATGAGAATGGTGACTCTCCAGGAAGGTAATGTTGACATTTGTCAAACTGTTTAATACCAGAGATGTTAAATGTGTGTAATGAATACATGCAGGCTTGACATCAGAGCTAAGATTTCACTTCTAGTTTCACATTTCTTGACTTTCTGTGCTTATTTTTAAAAGATAGCTCTTTTTTTTTAATGTGAAATTTTATTGTGTTAAAGATATAGATTTTCAGTCTTAAAAACTTCCTGCATGAATTTGCATTTTCATCTGTAGCATTTAAAGGTTCTATTACTCAAAACAAACCATCAGATCTTTATGTTTGTAGATCATGATGGCTACCACAGCATATTTCTCTCTCTGAGTGTTTAAATGTATGTGTTTGATTGAGCAATAAACAATCATAGCAGATAGACTTCTTTTATTAAGAAAAAAAACAATATCATAAATATTGTATTGTTTTTTCCACGATTTTTTTTAAATCAGAATTATTAAAAATCTGCTTCCATATCTTTCAAATAAAGCCTTATACAGCTTCCCCTCCAGGCTCATCACCATCTTCGTTGCCCTTCTTTGGACACTCTCTAATAGCTTAATATTTTTCTTGTATTGTGGCACCCCAAACTGCACACAATATTCAGGGTGAGGCCACACCAGTACAGAGCAGAGTGGGACAATCCCCTCCCTCTACTGGCTGGTGATGTTTTGACTGATGCCCCTAGGACATGGTTGGCCCTTCTGGCTGCCAGGGCACTGCTGACTCATATTCAACTTGCAATTGATCAGGACTTTCAAGTCCCTTTCCATGGCACTGCTTTCCAGCATCTCATTTCCCAGTACACCCAGGGTTGCCACATCACAGGTGCAGAATCCAGCACTTTCCCTTTTCCGTCTACATTATTGGGAACTTTTAAAACATCTTTGTGACGGCACCATATAAACAGATGACTAGAGGGAAAATTATCTATCCTGTACACTCATTTAAATTTTGTCTTGTCTCACTAATGTGAACGGAAAGGAGAGCATTAACTTCCTAGTAGAGATGGGTAGGAAAAGGCAAATTCATTGATAAGAATATTTTGATATTTCCAAAAATTTCTACTATTTCAGAACTGAATTTTTTTTCTTATCTTATTTGAAAACCTGCAAAGTCAACATTCTCCCCAAAAGCAATCAGGATAGCCACCCAAAAAGAGTCTGTCTCTGGAGACACAAATGTTCAAACTCTTCAGACTCAGAATTTAAGGAAGTGCACTATGAGCTGGTAGGAGAACTCAGGTACAAACTGGCAGAAATCTAGGAAAATTTCAAATGGAGACTTATTTTCAGATCTGTTTTAGCATGAGCAAGGATGTCTTCTGCTAAACTTTTCTATTTTTACAAATAGCTGAATTTTGAAGAAATGTGTTAAATCTGATTTTTTCTGACCGAATTCTTTTAAAAAGACTTGTCCCAGACTTCTCTGAAAGGTTTCCTCTTTGGTTTTATCGGTGCTCAGACACAGTGAACTGCATCCTACCCTATTCCTGTCTGTTTCACTTGTTTCTTGCAGATAAACTGAAGAGTGCCATGAATAAGTGATGTGTGACCTGTCACAAATAAACAATATGTGACATGACAACATCTATGACAATATCTAAATATTGCAAAGAGGTCTTTGTTTTACCTTTTCCTCATACTGGCATTCTTAACAATAATGATTTAACACCATTTTTTTTCAAGGAATTTAATTGAATATCTAGGATATTTTTAAATTAATTTCTAAGAAAGATGATGAAGGAATTATATCATGTACAGTCATTTGCTCAGTCCCAGGACATAACTGTTTCACTGAAGAGCATGCAAACACCATGTTGATGGGGACACCATGAGCACCTCAGGATAGCCCAACTTTAAGAAAGACCAGCTTCCCTGGATTTGTGTGATATTTGTGTCTACTCAAACCAATGAACTTTGTATCTTTGGAATCATAGTTCTTTTTCCCTCCTCTCTAACAACAGCCACATTATTAAATCCAGTCTACGTGCTTAAATCAGACAACATTCAGTCAAAATTTACTCTTTCACAATTAAAAAGATTTTATAGGAAGCTCCATCTCTAACATCCAGGTTTTGAGTAGTGTATAGTCTTTTAAGCACTGTCAGACAATATTTGCAAGAGGTGAGTGATGGTGCAGTCATACTGGAACAACTCATCTGCCCTGTTCACTTGCATTGATAACTGCATCTTCAGTTCATAAAACTGGAATTTAAATCCTCACAGCTGTACTGTGGTGGTGGTGTTAAGCAGGAAATCGGAACATAAAAAGCCTTTCTGACCTAGATAGTTCAGGATTTTGATGTATAGCAAAAGGCATTTGATATTATACAACAGATGATTAATCCCACAAGTTGCTTTGAATCCTGGCCCTATTTGAAATTCCTTTATGTATATATTGAGTTTTAAGCAGAGACAGTCTAGTGTAGGGCTTGTTTTATGTGAGACAGAAGACGTAGAGAAAAACAAAATGAGTATGGAAGGAACAGCCATGATTTCTCAGGAAGATAACAACTATCTATAAATACCACAGAAACTCTGAAGAGAAACTGAGAAGGCAAGAAAAGGCAAGAAAAGCAAGTTGCTGGTGTTTTAACTATGCTACCAATAGAATATGAATTCTCAGCAACTTCATGGCACTCCTGTTTTGATACAAGTATTTTGCACTGTGATTAGAGCACTGCTGGAAATGTGCTATTGCACCATCTGGTCTCTCCTATCCTAAAGTGACAAACTGTCCCTGTGCTATCTCAAGGAAGCTCCAGGGACCCAGTGACTCATGAACCTCCACTATAGCAATGGATTTACTGAATCTGGCTATTTCTATGTGTCCGCCAATGCTGTTCTCCAAAGAGAAGAGAGACATGAGTTATGCAGACAAGAGTATATTTAATTTTTTAGGTTCCTTTCCAGTATTCTCCTTGGAATGTATGGAACTACTATAGGAGGGGTCATTGGTTTAGGTTCTGTGGCCTGTTAAGCACTGACAGTACTTTTGTTCGTCTCTCCATGAAATCTGAATTGACAGCTTTAACAAAGCTTTGCTCATAGGAGGGTTGCAATGTCCTGACAACGCTGAATAATGACTCCACAGTGACCTCTGGGCTAACTTTCTGGTTAGTCTGTTTAATCCTTGGAAAGACTGTTATTATGCCTGTGAACCTTAGAAAAAAACTCAGTTTATAACCATGCGCAAAAGCCTCTTTATTTGGATTTGTGCTTATGTTGTCTGGATTCAATTAATTTTTGTCAGTCTGGCATTCACATCTCCAACTTTGAGGAGGTCATTATCAAAGCTGTGGACATTTCCTTTTTTATATAGGACGGAAAGTAAAATATTTCAAAATCCATAAGTATCATAAATTTTTCATTCTGCCTGTGTCAGTGTTTATTTTTTCTTCTTTTGTAAAGACTCAAGAACCATATAATATGCATAATATCGCATTGTCCATTCAGTCAGGCTCCAATTTCATTTTCTTTCAGAGGTTGCTTGCAGTCCTGATCCTGACCTGTGTGTGATTTTGGCACTGAATCTCTGCCATACAATAGTTTCCCCACTGTGACAGTTAAACTGTTTCTTGATTCAAAGCGTCCTGAGATCCATCAATGGATAATATTATAGAATAGTTTTACTGTAATTTTTTTTATGTTATGTTTTTTATGTGGGAAAAATATTGACATTAGATAGAGTATGGCTACTCCTTGTCAGTGTTCAAAGGGTTTCCTCAAAGCTTAAAAGACATACTTGGGTATCTGTCATGGTTTAACCCCAGGCAGGAAGCAAGTACCATGCAGCTGCTTGCTCAGTCCTCCACCACTGGGATCGGGGACAGTATTGAAAGAGCTAAAGCTAGAAATCTTGTGGATTGACATAAAGATGGTTTAATAAGAAAAGCAAAAGCTGTGCACATAAGCAAAGCAGAACAAGAAATTCTTTCATTTCTTCCCATGGGCAGGCAGGTGTTCAGCCATCTCCAGGACTTCAGGGCTTCATCACACGTAATGGTGACTTAGGAATACAAATGTCATAACTCCAAACATCCCCTCCCTCCTCCTTCTTCCCCCTGCTTTATATACTGAGCAGGATGTCATATGGTATGGAATATTCCTTAGGTCACTTGGGGTCAGCTGTCCCAGCTGTGTCTCCTCTCAGCTTCCCATGCACTCCCACCCCCTTGCCAATGTGACAGTGTAAAAAGGCCTTGGCTTTGTGTAAGCGCTGCTCAGCAATAACAAAAACATCTTTATAGTAGCTACTGTGAAGAATGTTAACTCTACCCAACCAAAACCAGCACAGTATCTTACTTAAGAGATTGTTTGATTCAATAAGCTGGTTCTTTCACTTATCTATATAATGGACTTCAGAAATTACATGCTGACAATATCACTCGTAATCCAACCCTGCCTGTATGCTTTGCCTTTGGGACAAATTTGGTGCCTGCTGACAGGAGAAAGATGTCTCCTTGTTTATGAACCAGGTAGCTTTTCTAAATCCATGGTTGTGTTAATCTTCTTGGTCTATATCCTTTGCTTGTTTTCTGTCAGTGAATTCCATAGTACTTAGACAGCTTAATGTAAAATTCACTAAAGAAGAGCTAAAGAAAAGCATGACATCATTGCTTCATGAGTTGCTCAGTTTTCCAAGCATGCCTTACAAGAAAGTACTAAAAGAACAGGACTGTAAGGTAGAAAGGTGGGCTGGTGTTCAGTAGTAGGAGGCTAGTGAGTCCTGTGCTGCTCCACAGACTTTCTGCAAGACTCTGTGGGAGCTAAAAAGGAAGTAGGAGGAAGAGGAACATGAAACTGAAAACTCTGATCAGCTCTATCTTTGACCCAAAAGCAGCCTAGGACTGAGTCATGAATGTACTTTCTCTTCCACACTATACTGTACGAGGAATTAAATATGTTCTGATCGCTGGGGAATTATATGAAAGTGATTGTATGGATGGGAGAGACAATCATTTGCTGCTGCAACAGTGGAGAAGAAAAAAAAAAAAAGAAAGATTCCTGGACAGACTTTGTGCCTGAAGAGTGGTGCCTGATTCCTCTCTGGTTGTCTTTGGCACAGGAAGTTTCCTTTGCTCCCATAGACCTGAGTTACTTCTACCTCACTTTGGGAGTTTATCTATCTTCAGACTTCTTCTCTCAGGAGAGGAATAAGCAGCTGCAGACAGTGAGGATCACGTAGCATCAGGAATTGCTATTACTGGTTTAGATTACTCAGCATCTGTTATACGGGGAACTGGGGTTCCTTATGCAATTGGCTTCAGTGCTGAAAGTTGCACAGAATGAATTCTGTTTGACTCATTTTCATGGTTTCTCTGAAACAAATAGTCAGTCTCAGGAGCACAGCCACTTAACCCCGGACTCTTCAGGGAAATTTTTATGGTGATAGAAAAAAAAACCAAACAACCAAAACAAACAAAAAACCACCACCAGAAACAACACCCAAACAAACACAAACAAAACCCAAACAAATAAAACACTCTCAAACCCCTAAATTAAAATAGAAAGGAAAAGAAAGATTATGATATCAGAGAAATTATTGTGAGATACTCAAAAGCAAGCATAATGCTTTAAATTTTTTCTTCTTTATTTTAACAAGCTTGATTTTTGACTGTATCATGTTCCTTTAATTTGAAACATTTCATGATGTTCTCCTCACCTCAGCTATGTCTCTCCTTTGTGTTTCCAAAGATATGAAATCATGAATTTTAAACAAATGGGGAAGGATTACTTTGATTACATCAATGTTGGCAGCTGGGACAATGGTGAGCTGAAAATGGACGATGATGAAATATGGGCAGAGAAAAGTAATATCATCAGATCTGTGTGCAGTGAACCCTGTGAAAAAGGCCAGATAAAGGTAAATATTTTCTTAATTTGCTTCAGTCTTGTAGCATGAACAACCTTGAAATTTGAAAGCAAGTTTTTCTTGACTTTTGCATAGAGACAATATCCCACACCTTAATTAAAATATACAGACTTATGTATTTAGTTCTTACTCCTATCATAATAATCTCATTATTTTCATAATTTGCTATTTTCTTGTACTCCCATATCTGGGAACTGCTGAGTTTTTTGGTTTTTACTTTTATTCCAAATGGCTAGAAACAGATATTGTTTGGGTGTTTTTGCTGCATATTTTTACAGCATCTGAATCAGTGGAGTGAAAATCCCTGTCTGGGACTTGTCAGTACACTTGCAGGTAAATTATAAATAATAGTTGCTACTATTTCAGTGCTACACATAGTCACACAAACTGGAACATTATTGCTCAGACCTTAAATCTGTGGTATCATCAGAGAACAACAACATATACCACTCCTTCCAACCTCAGGAAATGTAGGTAACATTTTTTTTTAATCATAGCAATTTTACTGCTTCCTTATTTCCTGAGTTTTTGATTTTTCCTTCCTCCCTTTCCATGCTGAAGTAAGGAGGGTAGATGTATCTCTCACATATTAATTGTACACTATTATCCTTCAGCATCCCATGACACTTACTGCAGAACAGTTAAAATACTGCAAGTCCTTAGCTTACCTTGTAGTCCTTTAAATAAATGTCTGTGGAATGAGTGGATAGGCATGGATAGCCATAAAAAAAGCAGCTGTAATTTCTGACAAGTCTCATTGGAAGCCAGATCACTTTTCTCATGTGTTCGAATGGCATAACTGAAAACTGGGAAGCAGCTCCAGAGAGGTACCAGTGAGAGGCTGAATGTGCTCTTCAATGCGAAGTGAATCTCTTCAGCCTGTTTTACAAAGTTTCAGGACAAGGTCACCATGTTTTATTCACTATCTGGTCTTTGGCAGAGTCAGTAAGTGAGTTTCATCAGACCAATTGTATTTGTCTTCAGTGTATGCATTTGGAGTTAGATTTCTGAATTTCTTTTATAATCAATGGAAATAATATGTTATTTCAGGTGAGGAGTCACCTCATTCTCATGTAGGCTTTCAAAACTGTTAAGACCAAGCTTGGTGTAGAAATACTTTTCTCTTCATTGATGGTAAAAGACACCCAGAAAGGACAGTTGATCCAGATGAGAACATACCTTCTGCAGACACATAAAGGCAGGTGGGATGAATTAGTCCTACAGTAACTGAACGGGGGTCTATTGTTAGCCTGCTCCAGCCACAAAGTCCCATATGTGGAGGATAGAGATGTACAGACAGCTAATATATTCAGAACCGAGTGGCTCCAAGTTCCTTTATGATCTGTTGGCACAACACAGGTGACAGAAAGTATCTTGCGTTCTTCATTAACACAGTCTTCTTCCACCTTCTGTCCATGCTCTCAAGGATTCTCTGAAGAGGATTGTCCTCTATGAAGCCAAGTCATCACACACTGAGATACATTGAAGTTCAGTGTTAGAAATGCTCTGTTTGCTCCTCATTAGGTTATTGATTATAAATCTCAAAGTTTACCTCAGTCTTTATCTTCATGGTCTTCACAGATGATGGTGAGAGCTTGATCCTACCAAGCTCTCTGGTAGTTTTCCTGCAAACTTCTGTGTGACTGAGTTATTATGAAAGAATTTCAAGCATTCAATGTAATGATATCCAACACTCAGCAACATTTAGTACATCCATATGAAGGACTTGATAAAATCCAAATGCAACCCAACTCTAAAGATTTGAAATAATGCAGACACATGATTATTTAAATAAGTACAGGTTCAAAGGATTGATCAGATGACAAGGGGAAAGAAAAATAATTTTTGTTTTGAAGAGAATTATTTATGTTAAAAAGGACAGAAAATATTTGTTTACAGGTAAGTAATACAACAAAGAATTGTTCCAGAAGTGGGGGGAAAAAGTATGAATTAAATGTTAAGAAATTTAACATAAGAAAAAAACAAATTCTATTTGATTCTGAGTACTGGAGAACAATTATCTTTATTCCTAGAGAAGGATACATAATCCTTCACTGGTAGTGCTGTATAAGAAATTATCAGAGTACCAGTGTCCTCATAGATTTGTCAAATTTCAAGTATTCAGGTTTGAATACACTTTATAAATTCATCATTGCAAAAGATACAAAAGTCAACCTACTTCTTATGCTATAATTGGGAGTATTTGTTTATAAATTGTTCAGGAGGAGTAGAGAAACTGGAAATACTTTATTTCAAAAGAAAGACATATTGACAAGAAGCACAGAGGTTTTCAGTGCCCAGAGATGATAAATAAGGAACTTGAAAAGTCTGCGTTTCAATCATAAGCATGCAATAACATTTGACAGAAAATTATGAAATGAGAAATCAGGTCATATGTTAGAATGGATAAAAACATTCTCACTCTTAAATGGTAATTAGAAATAAGCAATTAAATAATTCTGGGAAAAGCATGTTCAGTTTGATGTCTGAAAAAAATCAGTTTTAATAAATCACTTATAATTTGATGAAAAATAAACACCCAAAATTCTTTGGGTAACGAACCCTTAGGGACATAATGCTGTTGGTATGATTCCCTGCATGGACTAGAGTGGAATGAATTATGTGCCTTGAGTATCATGTACTGGCTTCTGTAAGTACCTTGCCATCTACAAAATTTTGAGTTTTGCAAATTCTATGAGGAATAAAACCATCTTATTGTCCCTCTGTACCTCCACTTATACTTCTCTAGGTTTGGTGGTTTCTTTCTTCTGGTACTTATATGAGGGGAGAATGCATAAATTTTGTCAAATTTTACATATGAAAACATATGAAAAGGAACTCACTTTAAAATAAAATCTAAAAATCCCTTCTATCAAAAAAAAAGGTTAAAAAGTTAAATTATCAACTAGGACAGCATGAATGTGTGTTTATGCTGATAAATCAAGTGTCAATTTTTGTCTCAGGTGATCCGTAAAGGAGAAGTGAGTTGCTGTTGGACCTGCACTCCTTGTAAAGAGAACGAATATGTATCTGATGAATACACATGCAAAGCCTGCCAGCTTGGCTCCTGGCCCAATGAGGACCTCACAGGTAAATGAGTTGTGGCTGTGTTTATGTTGTCAATGAAAGTGCTCATCTGCTGAGCTGAAGAAACAAATGACAGATACAAGTGAATATGAGAACTGCTTTGGTCAGATCAAACCCAAGGATAAAGCTGAAATTTGAACTGAAGCTGATCTTTATCTCCTCTCCTCAACCTGACCCAGGATTTGTTCGCATAATTCAGCTCCTTTCTAAAGACCTGGATAACTTGATCTAGAAATAACAATAAAAAAATAGTCCTGGTTTTATATTCAGCCCTGTCCTAGCCTCTAGTTGGTAATGAAGATCTTACTTTTCACCAAACAGGTACAGAAATTAAGTCCTTGTCAGAGAAATAATTAAGGGAGATCAAATTTCAGAGTTTTATTTTCTTCCCAAGTAGGTACAGAAGACTTGTGTAATACCTTCTTTTTTAATCTGAAAAAGTTCTGAACTAGTTGCTGTAGTTACCACCACTAAAAACACGAGTGCTCCAAACAGACTTCAGTTTGCAGTAGTCCTTTGTTCATCAGAGTCTGCTGGAACACAGAGTTCATCCTTGCCATGGCTTAGACATCTATGCTCTTACAGAATACCAGTTTGGTTTCTTTAGAGATAAATTGTTCCAACAATTGTATCCCACAGCCTCTCTTCTTTATGGCTGATAAACAAAATTCAAGTATCCAAATGCTCAGAGCACAAACCTCTTCAAAATGTTGTTCAGGGATCAGGTTCTCATTGTGCCAGGCTTTGTACAGACAAGGAGAGAACAGACAGGTTTTTTTCCAGAAGAACTCACAGACTTGATTTGCATACAGTTTCTGTGGATGAAAGGAAAAATTTTGAGGTGAGAGGGAAGACAAGGGAAAACACAATTTGCTTCATGAATTTATAAAAGTGGAAGAGTGTAAGGCAAGGCTTGACCTACAGAGATATTTTTATATGAAAGGTTAATACTTTCCTGGCAAAGAATGTTGCCTTGTTTTGATAAATAAATTAGGTTACCTAATTATTTCAAAAATATCATTTAACCATGACATTGATGGGGTATGTTTCAGAAAATGTCCAATATGGCACTTTCCCTAGAAAAAAACTGACAACTGAGAAAAATGAAACAGTTAAACGGATTTGCAAGTGCTCCTCCATCTATGCTCCCTCCATCTATGCACCCCACCCTCTTTGGCCTCCATGAGCACAACTGATACAATGTGCCCTCCTAGTACCGACATCTATCACATAGCTTCACAGCCCTGCTCCCCCACTCCTGCCCCAGGCATCCAGCAATCAACCACCAAAGACTTCTCATCTCAGGGAAAGCTTTCTTGTGCCAGGAGAATGCAGAAGGAGAGAAAAAGGGAACTGGCTGCATGTGTCCCCAAAAGCAAAGTATTGAAGGTATGGCGTAATCTCAGGTTCACTCCCCAGGTAGGCCATCCAGAAGACTCCAAAGCCCACATTGCAGGGACTAGGCCATCACACCAGGTTGGTCAGGTCATGACGGTCAACTAGTGCAACTGGTCAACTCTCCCACCTCCAGGGGTCTTGTCTGAGATATTGCAGATCCCAGCTCACCCTTGTTTTGGTAAGCACCTGAAGTTTTACCCAACACAGATCAGCTAGAAAAGGGGCTGCTACAAGTCAGTTAGGAGGAAATTTGTTCCAAGTGTCAACACTTCTGAAATACCAGTGATGGGAACTGCCCATTGATCTGATGAAATTTGGGTAATTAGCCTGTAAGCACCATATGTAAGGTAATGTGGAGTAACCAGGCTACGAGGTTGGTCCTCAGGCTCTGTGCTTTGAGCTGGCTCCCAGGCACACAAATCTGATTCAAGCAAGACATCAGTCTGGTCCTGTGGGAGGATTCACCCTCTGAAAGTCTCACTTTGCACTCAGGATAGAAGAGTGGGATGGGTTGGCATCTCAAAAGTTCTTTTAGGATGAGTCAATGATTTTCCACCCATAACTGATTGTTTTTAAGGAAAGCAGTTGTATTTTTAGTCAAGCCAACTGCTTTATGTATTACATGAGCAAACATTTTGTATTTGTTTGCAAAATTACATTTTGCAAACCATTCATCTGGCTTTAGATATGGATTTTATGCCTTTACAAGGACCAAAGTCAACCCACATACAAGAGAACCCTTAACATCAGTGCCAAGCAGTGTTCCTCAGGAGATCTAATCTTTGTTCCTCAGCCAGGTACAAATTTGGCAGGCACTATTGGGAAACCGAACCCTGCCCTCTTTGGCCTCCATGAGCACAACTGATACAATGTGCCCTCCTAGTACCGAGACATCTATCACATAGCTTCACAGTTGCGTAGTCCCCACTAACTCATATTCACATGATGGCCGGATCTTGTCTTGTTTGACTTTGTATCAGAAACAGATTTTAAAAAAATCTATTCCCAGTTTATCCGTACAATATAGTGAGCTGGATTTCTAAAGTTCATATTTATAGTACCAATATTTGCAGCTTGTAAAAAACTCCCTTTCAACCTTGTTTACAACATGGGATTCAGTAATAAATGTGAATTAAAAGTAGGGAGAGTGAGATATATTTTGTATTCTGGCAGGGAAATTTCCCTTCAGTTTAATAAAGTATACACCAATCTCCTTGAACTGTCCCTGCATCTGATACTGCAGCAGACTAAGTCTCTTTGCCGCTTAAGAAAGCCATTTCTTAGGTAATGTCAGCTCCACAAGGGTACACATTTAAAAAGTAATTGAAATAAGTCTGCCTCGCATGATCACCTTCAAATGACAGTCCTGTAAATGCATCAGCCATGTGCCAGAGATGCCTTTTAATGTGGAGCTGCACCTCGCTGTTTTTTACCCAAGATCTGATCTTGGATAAAAACTTACTTGGAATCCTTTCTTGGCTCACATAACAAAGCATTGCTCCATCTTTCTTATGTTCAACGATCAGCATCAGTTTTGTGCCACAAACTTCACTATATAAAATGTCTAACGTCAGAGATGTTACTGACAGAAAGGAAGAGAGATTAATGCACTCTTTCGGTCACCCATGGAATATCAGAATTCAGATGCAGTACAGGAGAAGACAGAAGGGATGCAATATGTCTAGGAAAACAAAGTTATTCTCAGAACAGGAAAAGACATTGGAGTTCTGAAGTACAAAAAGGAACAGGGAGTCCAAAGGTAGTGGAAAAGACAAGCCAGAATGAGAGTTTCTCTTGATTAAATAGTTACTGGAAACATCTCCATCTAGAAGCGAAGCTGAGGCAAGAAAGGGAATGTTTAGCTGCCCATATTTTATTTCCTCACAAATTTCAAGTTCATTGCTTATGCATACAATATTCCCCAGGGATCACACTCATCCTTGGACAAAAACCTAGTAATTTTCTTCCTTTTCTTCAGATTTATGTTTTATCCCAACATGTACCACAACTAATTTTTCTCCTTCTCATTTAGTATCAAGACAAGCTTTCTAAACTACTGTAGCTCCCCTACTTCCCTATGCGTTGTTAGCAACATCCATACATTACAGCACCAATTCACACATTAATATGTCCAGCATGGCTGAACCACATACTCCACTACAGCAGGAGGAACTCATTGATTTAAGTCCAGAAGTATATGCCAGTCAGTCCACTATTCCTCAAAGCCCTTCTTTGCATTATATTCACAGCAGATGGAAAAGAAATAGATGTCGTGCAAGTTTAGATACAAATGAAGGCATTTTCTTAATGCTGATGACCAAACCTAAATGAAATTATTTTTCAGTAACTTGATGAGAATGGCTTTTTTATTTTCAAAAAACCCAAGCAACTTTGAGGACATGGCCTTCTGCATTCATAAATAGTGCTTTAGAAAGACCTGACAAATTTTGTTCAGCTTCTCAGAGCTTTTTCAATGTATGTAGGAGCACCTTGGTCCAGTTGCCACTAGTGTCTAAGAATGTCCTTAAGAATGTCCTTTGAGGTGGGAAAGAAGGAATGATTCTCTCTTTCTGATGTTCAGGGACAGCATACAACAATACCAGAAACAAAGTTTTATCTGGTGACCTCAAGTACTGCAAGAAACACAGATTATACTAATTCCAATGACACTTGGATAATCTTCAGGCTGTATTGGCAAGTCTCTCAGTTTCTGTGTATTCCAAAAATGTCGAGTATTTGATTTTCTTAATTGGATTCCCATGAAAGTAGGAGCTTGACTATTTTACAGCTCTTGAAATGTTTTATTATTCAAGGGTAAGGATACATATCAGAAATAAATATTTTTACTATAGTTACAAAAACGCTTTCACCAAATAAGGTACAGTAAACCCAGGATAACAATGTCATGATCATGTCTGTCCATCTCAAAGTGACAGAAAAGAGCTAGATTATCCAAAGAACAGATGGAAAAGACTGAAAAAAGGTCATCCCAGCTCTAAGTGACATAACAGCCATTTCAAAGAACTCTGACAACACTGATGCTACATCCAGTTTGGTCTGTACTGATCTGGATTCCTCACTGAGAAGCAAAAATTACTGCCTCCCTCATCCTGAGGGCATTGCTTGTACATTCAGCAAGAGCCACAAAGAACAGACAGTGCTGGGGGCCGCTGGTATCTTGGCTCTCAGCACCCTATGAGACAGCCCATATGCATGAGGCCAAAGGCAGGGGTGATGCTCGACGGTGGATTGCAGTGGATCCTGACAAGGGCTTGGTTGGCTCTTCCTGCAGCATGCTGATTCAGTCTGTGGTAGAAGCCATGGGGGTTTGAGCCTCAGTTGTCTCATCAGACTGGATTCTGCCCCTCACACAAGTAAAAAGTAATGAATCTCTTGCCCAAAATATTTTCAAACAGTAACTGCTTGTTTCTATCAAGTTGCTTTCTTCTATTCCCACTTGCGATAATGCTGCAGCCATTGGTAATTTCAGCATTTGTCTGAAATGGGACAGGAGACAATTTAGTCTGTGTTGATACTGATTTTTCTGCTGAAACATTACTAGCATCTGGCTTTCGATCATAACTGGCAAGGCTGTAATTCAGACT